TGTGGAAAACTTGGTAAAGAAACTGAAAGTTAAACTGGGTTTCTTTTTCAGAAACAGATCCTGTCTAACCCTGAATGCTAGAAAACGCCTTGTATCTGTGACTTTCCTTCCCTCAATTGATTTTGGTGATATTATTTACATGAACGCTCCTACAAGAACCCTGCAGATGTTGGATGCTGTCTATCATGGTGCACTAAGATTCATAACTGGCTGTGATTATCGTACCCACCACTGCACCCTGTATTCATTGGTTAACTGGACATCATTAACTTCACGCAGACTCTCTCACTGGTACATTTTCATCTTTAAATCACTTCTTGGTCTGCTGCCTTCATACATCTCCTCCTACATGTCTCTGCGTGAGTGCAGCTACGGAGTGCGCTCTCAGGACATTATTACCTGCAGTGTTCCCTCAGTGAGGACTGAACTAGGCAAAAGGGCCTTCTCCTACTCCGCTCCTGTTTCCTGGAATATCTTACAAAAAGATTTGAAGCTCTCGACCTTGACCTCTCTAAGTGGCTTTAAGAATCTGTTGGACTCCTGGCAGGGACCAATGCAGACATGTTCCTGTTTTTAGTTTTATACATTTGTCTCGGAATCTAGCAGTTTTTTTGGTTTTGTTACCTTTTTCCTTTTAGCCATCCTATTTGTTAAAAAAAAAAAAAAAAAAAAAACTGTAGTATGAGTTTTTATAACTGCTTATTGTTGTTGCTGTTGTCCATTGTTGTCATCTTTCTTTGTTGAAATCAGGTCTCTCTTGTAAATGAGTCCTCGAGGCTCAATGGGATTTACCTGTATAAATAAAGGTTGATTGATTGATAATCTCCTCTCAAGTACAATTTGTACAAATATATGCATGCATGTCCAAAAAGGCAACTTGAGGTATGTTTTATTAATGTTGGATAAGTTTTATAGTTAGAATTAAATTCTGCTAACACAAAACATGTTTCTTTTTATTCCTAGTTTTAAAGTGGGTATTAAAGTGATTAATTTAAGTGATTGTTTAAAGTTGTTTTATATTTTATAAGGGGCAGATCTAAGAATTTTTTCTTCTTTCTGCACTCTTTTCATTCAATGTTTTCTTTATGATGATTTTGGGGCAGCCGTGCTCAGTCTGTCCCTCCTCGGAGACAGACAGACTGTGCGGGGCAGATTGGATGCGGCTGGCCGGGGTCGAGTAGCCTCTTTCGGTTTCAAAGACAGTACCGCACCGCTGAAGCACGGAGCTCGAATGTCAAATGTAAAACTAACTTTACCACGGTTTAATGTGGTGCTATGGCTCTGCAGACATTGCATGTTGCTGTCTTGTTTTGAGGTGTTTCTAGTGTAAAATACTTCCACACAGTGGACATGTTTCGATGAAAATTTGGTTAGCTGTTAGCCACAGTACTGCTAACTCAGTCCTCACGTTGTAGTCCTCACCCAGGAACTTCTTGCTGTAAGGCAACAGTGTTAATTGTAGGGATATAGGGCTTCAGTCTGGGCAGCTTTTAACAGGTGTGTATGCTAACCGTAATCTAGACTGGCCTCACCCCACAAATATATATATATATATATATATTTACGTGATTTCTTGTTGCAAACTATGAGATGGATTTCCTGCATGTGAGGCGGGTCTTATTACTCTGGGTTCATGAGACACGCCGACGTTCAGGAAATCCATTCCATAGTTTGAAGCCAACTTGCATCATGGATCGGAAATATCGGCAGGTGGATCGGAAAAATCAGATACGCAAATTATGCTGGTATCGGAGGCCGATACCGATACTGGATCAGATCGGCCACATCCCTACTTAATTTTTTTTGCTATTTTTGATTGTAACTGGGACCTTGGGTAAAAAATCTCATTCCACCTCATGTACCACATGTGATATGAATGACAATAAAGAACCTTGAACATCCATAACCCTTTACTAAATTCCCCTGACATAAACATGCTTTAAATGTCTGAACATCTTTATCTCTAAACTGTCTGATATGTTCATTAATCTTCATTATGTTGTTTTATGATCAAATCAAGTCAAGGTTCTTTTATTGTCTATCACACTACATGTGGCACATGTGGTTTAACAAAATTATGTACACAGAGTCCCAGTTACATCCAACAACAGTATAAATTGTAAAAAAAAAAAAATTAAAAAACCCCAGTGATAAGATCTAAAATATGAACTAAGAAATACGCTAAAACTAAGAATACACTAAGCCCAAATAGTACAAAAACAATATGCCGAACAACAACAGCAGCGCAAACATGAGTCAGTGTGAGCAGGTGAGAATGAATGAACACAGCAACGTGAAATTTATTACTGTAGTGAACTAAGCCTAAGGTCAAAACCCTTGACCTTAAGAACCTTGTGGGACAGAAACTGTCATTTCATTGATTTGAATCCAGAAATACAGGTTCACCCATCCTGAGACTTTCTTTCTTGAAAATTCAAGTGAAAGAACACTCTCTTTTCTATGATCATTACTGTTTTACAAATGTTTGATAATCAAAGTGTTTTAGTTCAAACATTTTAGATGTTACAGTGAACTAATCAATTTTTATTAACTGTGAAAACAGTAATAATGATTATTTTTAATCCTCATGCAAAGTTAGAATTCATGTTAAGGTCTGTTACGGAGTAATTATGCATTTTCTGATTTTCTGTCTTTGAATGAGCAGTGTAGGTTTGGTCCAAGGTCGGAGTCTAAGCAGACAAGTGTTGGAACGAGCTGTGTTGTTTTTAAATCCTCTCAGACGTAAACAGAGAAGCTGGCACCTGTTTTCCCAAACTCGCCCAAACATTTCTCTCGTCTGTCTGAAAACATTTTCAATCTGTTCCATAACATTCTTGCTGTTTTCTGACTTCTAGTAACCTCTTACGTCACAAAACACACCCCTGTCTGGTCGACATTGACCAATAAGAAAACTCCCAAATGAACCGGAAATAGAGCCCTTTAAAATGTCGGTACTTCCTAGTTCACCCCAGTTGCTGTTGGGTCGGAGTCCCTGTTGGGTCAAAGTTCCAGTTGAGTCGAGCCGAGGTTGCGGTCGAGTTCCCATGCTGGGAAACAGGAAGGTCCTGACATGACCACAGAGCTCTTCCGAGTCTTTTGGGATTATAACTTTCTTCCACATCTGGGTGGAACTCTGACGGACTCCACTCATGTGAAGTCCACTTGCTGAGGTGAATTTGTGTCGAACGGAATACCGTCACTACTTCGGATGATTCACAGCCATCCTACGGAGACGCTGGACAGGTAGCGTTAACTGGAACTCCGTATCCGCTGATTCATCTTCAGAGAGGTAACGAGTCAAGTTTACTACCGAGCGTACCGAGGAAAGCTGGGTTCGAATGGAGAGTGTCGTTTCTGGTGCCGACGTAAACAAAACCCCTCACCCATCTTTTTCTCCCACTAAACTTCATCTTTCCTCTTTAAATTCTTCTATCAAGTAGAAATCATTCCAGATAATTTTAGAAATGTCTGTGTAAAGTTCTCATCCACCGCCGTGTGGATAATCAATCACTTGTATAGCTTGCTAAAATTAGCCATGTTGTTATTTTTCAATGTGCCAAATTAATGTAAATGTTTGATGTTAAACTTTGATTCTGTAAATAAATGACCACATTCATTTTGATGGGTCAAAGATAAATAACGTCTCACGATACATTTTATTAAATTCAATGCACGTTATATACAGTCCAGAAAAATGAAAGAACCCGTTTAATTTATGAATATATCATGCATATGTTCATCTACATTATTAACCTTTTTTTAACCAGGCAAATCCCATTGAGATCACAGATCTCTTTCTCTTTCACAGAAACATTTCTGTGAACAGTCATTCCTCTGGGATCTGTCTCACTTTGACTGGCATCATATTCTGTTAACTGATGACGTGAACTCTGCTTGGAACTATTTCCATAATAATTTCATTTATTTCCTGAACTTACATGCTCCTTTTCGTCAGTTCAGAATTAAGGGACGAGACAGCCCCTGGTTTACTCCAGAGCTAGCTGACCTCCTGCACAGGAGAGATCATCTTTGGGCCGCAGCGAGAAAATCTGACTCAGACACTGATTAAAGAGTGACCGCTAACCGCTGGCCTGGAGATGAGTGTAGACCAGGCCAGCGGTCACTCTTTCAGGGATGAAGATGTTCACATCCTGGATAGAGAGGAACGATGGTTTGAGAGAGGAGTAAAGGAGGCCATCTTTGTGAAAAGAAACCGTCCATCATTAAACAGGGGTGGAGGCCTACGTGATCAATTGTCCCCCTCTTACAATGCTGTGATTGCTAGTATCACTCAGCCCTCTGTGAATAGTACACAGCCATCAGTGTGCTAATGATCCATTGTTAGGCTGATGGTCCTTCTTGAGCATGTGATCAGCTGGTTTTGGTTGTCAGCAGCAAAACTGGTTGATCCACCCTGAGAAGGTGCTATTTAAGAGACTGAGCTGAAAACAGCACCTCAGACTGAAGAAGTCTCTCGGACGAGAGACGAAACGTTTCTACATTTTTTTGTTGTTTTGCTTTGTTTTGGGTTTTTTTGAATGTCCAGAGGACCAGATTTAACTTTTTTAGATGTCATTACATAGATTTTTTTTTTCACAGTGATAATCCTGATTAGGGATTCATGAGTCTAACAACTTCAGGGTAGAAGCTGTATGAAGAATGATGAAGGTTCTGTATCTAATAGCTGGATTTATACTGAGAATAAACTGCAAACACTGTTAGGGACCTCTGAAAGCAGATGGCTCAAATAGATTTTAATTTGAGGTATTAGAGTAGAAGGGGATAAATAAAACAAAACACTTTTCAGATTTTTATTTGTAAAGTTTTTGTAAACCTTGTATCATTTTTCTTCCATTTCTCAGTTATGCACCACTTTGTGTTGGTCTATAAAAAAAGGAAATACTCTGAAGTTTGTGGTTATTGCTCATATTCTTCAATAGCGTTGCTGGGGAGCTCCAGCAGTCGGGTCCTAAGCTCATCCTGTTGGTTTTGTGTTTTAGTTTCGAGGCATTAGCAGAGGGAGGAGGGCCAACATCATCGACTCCATGCTACGGATGTTGGAGCAGTACAGTTCTAACTTGGAGGATCTTATCAGGGAACGAACAGATGAACTAGAGGTTGAAAGAAACAAGACAGAAAAATTGGTTGGACAGCTTTTGCCAAAGTAAGACTTGCATCGTACAAATGTTTAAGTTCATACAAACATCAAATAATGGATGAAAAGTTACTCTATGATTTCCTAATGTGTCTTATAAGAATTAGAAGAATTTATGTTTACATTATTGTTCAGACATATACATAATTACCTGATTATTGGCTGTAAAAAAATTGGTGGTGCCCTAGGCAAAATTTTAGGTGGTACCACCTTTACCATTTTCCAAATGTTACTGCCAATTTAGAAACACACAAAACAACAGCTTTGTCTTTGATATTACGTTTTTCTTTTTTTTTTTTTTAGAAATCAGGTTGTGCAATTATAGTTCTATTTCATTGTGTGGCTTGCTCTTTAAGCCATGCCCACTAGTAGGTGTAACTCCACGCACAGTGTGCCAACACTGAAAAAACTCTAGTCCATGCCAACCACTGTGTGGGCCCCACGTCCGTCCATATAAACAGGCTATGGACCCGTCATTCTACTCCACATTTTATTCAGCCAGCTAAGCAACACTTGGAAAAGAAAGAAAAAGAAAACCAAGAACAGAAAAAGATGTTAGCAGATGGGATATATCTGCTGCTCTGAATGGCGCAGTCTGCCATCTCCCTCGGAACAGAACAAGCAGGTAGGCTCTCGTTTTTTTCTTTCGGAGCTAGACAGGTCTCGGATGTTTCTGCCTTTCATTTAAGGAGTTAGCGAGCGGCCTCACTCTTCCCCTCTCAGTTAGAGGGCTGGAGACAGGACTACTGCCGTCGGGTTGTTTTTCTCCCTTCCAGCGATTGGCATGCTTGTCCATGTTCAGCCAGGCATTTTCATGAGTGGCGAACGCTAGCCCTAGCGGTGCTGGAACTATTAGCCCTGGCCTAGACTTGGTGGGGCATTTAGCTGCCTTGCTCTCTGGTCGCCGGGACCCAGCTTGACCTTGTGTCTAGCATGTCAATATAATGTCGAGTGCAACGTTCTTACTGCTAAGATGAAGAACACTTGTTCGTCCTCTAGAGCCAAACCTGTCGACTACCTTTTTCTGGGGTCAGAGCGGCTCGGCATCCCTAGCAACAACTGCCCACTCTCTTTTTTTCCCCCAACGACCAGCTCTTAGCTGGATTCACTGACAGTTTTCAGTACACGTCTCAGGAAACTATAGCAGCCACATGCTTATGCTAACATTAGCACCCCATGTGCTGCTAGCGCCATGATCGGGCGATGCTCAGCGCCCTCAGCTGCATCCACCCCCCCTTTCCTTCACTCCGGGTCCCACAGAAGAAGCAGAACCCGGCCACACAGCTCTTTTCTGTCAGACGGAGCTCCAGGGGTGAATCTAGGGTGTTTTCTTGGAGGGACGTGTGTGTGAAGGCAATGTTATTGGGAGTTTGAATGATTTACCAACATTATTCTAAGAGCAGAATTCTCAGGTCAGGTTGTATGACCCTACTGTGTTTTTATTTTTCCTCTCACACTACCTGCACAGAGGGTAATGACAAGAAGGAACATTTTTGAAAGGCCCTGTCACTCCAGACGTTCTATTCAGCCTGCCTTTTACAGTTGGTCCTGGATTAGCTGCAACCCTCTTCGGCATCAGCTGCGGGGACATATGTCCTAGGAGCCCCAGCTGACACTGTCCCCAGAGGACAGCCTTCGTGGCCCCCTCAGTGAACGAACTCCGGCAGAGGTCAGCAACTGGTGTGTTCCTGGTCCAACCCACCCCAAGAGACATGAAGAAGACAGCAGAAGAAATAACGTTTGTGTGTGTGTGTGTGTGTGTATGTAATTGTTATGTGAAGGTTTTGATTAAAACACAAACTTCACTCAGAGAGCAGAAGGTGAATTTTAAACAAGCGTTTTAAAATAAACCAACTCTCCACTCATCACACTCAGAAACGATATGAGTCCATGGTGAGAACTCTAGCTTCCATGCAGACTCCTCCCCCCACTCCACATGAAGGGGTTTTTCAGAAATGGCTCAATCGCCAGCATCTTGACCCCTCTTGCCTCAAGCTCCAAATGATGGCTGCTCCTCTGTCTGTAGGAGCAGACCTGAGCCACCAGGGAAACCCTCAGAACCTGCTGAGAGGTGTTCCCCTGGACAGACTGACATCATTCCTTTCTATGTCCACAGACGCATCCCTCTCAGACTGGGCGAGGTCATGTCTGTCCCAGACAGTGGGTGGCCCCCTCGCATGTCTCTCCACATAAACATGCTGGAGCTGATTACCGTGAGGAAAGTATTCAAACACTTTGCCCTGATGCTGCAGGATCATCATGTGATGGTATACATGGACAACAGGACAACGGCAGCCTACATAAATCGCCAAGGGGCGTTCACTCGGTTCAGCAGCTGAACACATAAGCATCTTTGCTCCATCAGAGCTGTTTACATCCCCCAGGGTGCTAAACAGAGAGGCCGATATCATGCCCAGGGGCAGACCTCAGGAGAAGGATTGGTGCCCCAACCCAGATTTGACTCTTCAGATTGGTCCAGATTTGGCAAGGTAAATGAGAATCTAATGACCATCAGGGAAAACACTCAGTGCAAACTCTTTTTTTCCCTGAATCTGTGGGGCAAGCCCCCATTGGGAGTGAATATGTTGGCACACAAACTGTGGCTCCAGATGCTAATAGGACACCTGACTTCTTGTCCTTTAAGTTGTTTATTCTTTCTGCAGCTGCTGATGGGCAGAAACCTGGCCTTCAGCATGAGTAAAACGTACACTGGAGCCATTTCCTCCTGTCACAAGGGGCTTAATGACAGAACAGCCGTGTTGAAACGTTTTCTTAAAGGGTGTGCACAGGCAAAGACCTGGTTTGTGCACACTCCTCCCACAATGGAGATTAGTGCATGTGCTATGTTTACTGGCTAAGATCCATTTGAGCTTCTGGATCAGGTTAGTTTTTTCTGGTTATGCGCTCTTGGGTTTGAATGGATCCAGTGAGGCTTGGACTAGATCCAGCCTTGTCTTTAGCAAACTAGTCGGTGTGGCTTAAAGGGCAAGCCACACAATGAAATAGAACGTAGGTTACGTATTGTAACCACCGATTCTATGAAATGTGGGTGAAGCTCTTTAAGCACTGGGTCTCACTGGCTCCCAAGTGGCTGAATAAAATCTAGCTATTTGGGAATAGAATGATGGGTCTGTAGCCTATTTATACAAATGGAGGTGGGGCCCACACAGTGGATGTGCTTGGACTAGAGTTTTTTCAGTGTTGTCAAGCTGTGTGCAGGGTTACACCCACTGGTGGGCGTGGCTTAAAATACTTCACCCACAATTCATCAAATCTATGGTTACATTACGTAACCTATGATTTGATATACTGATGCCAAACAGGGACACTTATACATATTACCAAGAACCTGTGGAGTGAAGCAGTCCTATGGGGGTTTGGAAATTTAAAAAATAATTCCATAAAACTATGCATTTTTCATAATCAGAAGAATCAGAGTAAGCTTTATTTACTGTCCTCATCGGGCCAGGACTTTGCGGTCTACACTCCTCTCCAGGCCAGCGGTCACTCTTTCAGGGATGAAGATGTTCACATCCTGGATAGAGGGGAACGATGGTTTGAGAGAGGAGTAAAGGAGGCCATCTTTGTGAAAATAATTTGTCCATCATTAAACAAGGGCGGAGCCTCCATATTCAACTGTCCCCCTCTTACAATGCTGTTATTGCTAGTATCACTCAGCCCCCTGTGAATAGCAAACAGCCATCAGTGTGCTAATGATCCATCTTTAGGCTGATGGTCTTCCTTGATTATGTGAACAGCTGGTTTTTGCTGTCAGCAGCAAACCGATTGATCCACTGTGAGCAGGTGCTATTTATAAGACTGAGCTGAATACAGTACCTCAGACTGAGGAAGTCTTTCGGATGAACGACAAAACGTTTCTACAATTTTTTTTGAATGTCCAGAGGACCAGATTTAACTTTTTTAGACTAAGAAGAGAAAATTAAATTGCTAATAAAATGTAGACAACATTGACCTAAAATATTCTGAACAAACTTCTGTGAGAAAAGTAAGGTGGAGTGTTTTAAAGACCAAATTTACATCAAAGTTGCAGAACATCACGCGATGTGCAAATGTGTAAACGCTGTTTATTGATCAGCAAACCATGTTCAGCTGAAAGTGCTGTTGTTTTCAAAAGAAAAAGACTTTCTTGACATTTTTTTCTGCTGCTCTGTCACGTTTACCCTCCTCTACACTCCAAGAGAGACAAGAGACCTAAGCAAAGTATTCTTGTTATTTATAGTAGTGTCTTTTAAAATACTTTGCTATGCAGCTAAATTAGTTTTTTTTCACATTAGGAAATATTATATAAAATTACCTATTTAAGATAAGAAAGTTATACTTTTTATTCTTCCATTTGTGATGCCCCCTGGATGGACGGCACCTTTAGCATTTGTCTATACCAGTAGTTCCCAACCCTGGTCCTTGAGGAACACCATCCTGCATGTTTTAGTTGTTCCCTGTTCCTGAACACCTATTTCAGTGATTTAATAACTACTTCATCTTCTGCAGAAGCCTGTTAATCATCCATTCACTCAAACTAGGTGTGTCAAAGCAGAGAAAAAACTAAAACCTGCATGATAGTGTTCCTCGTGGACCAGGGTTGGCAGACACTGGTCTATAGTGCCTGCATCATGGGCCAACTCTGATTCACACAGAAAAGCTGATAATGCTGGTTCAGCTCTCAAATATTTGAATTCAGCTGAAAAAGAGAATTGCTGCTTCTGTAAGTCATATAACTAATTTTCTCCTTGAATAAAACAAAACAAGGAACTGACAAAAACACTATCTTGAAATGTTTGTTATTAAAAAAAAACTAGCTATTGTAATGTATAATGTTATTGTATATGAAATATAAAATTAATTAATCAAATCAGACACTATATTCCTCATGTTTCAGGTCTGTGGCTCAGGCTCTGAAGAAAGGGAAGCCGGTCCAACCTGAACATTACTCAGACTGCACTCTTTACTTTAGTGACATTGTTGGGTTTACCACCATCTCAGCTCTCAGCGAACCTATCGAGGTACAAAGTGTTCAACCTTCTGACAGTGTTTGTCTTTCCTTCACACTTCTACCAGTGTTGTTCATCCTGGGTCAAACTACTTACACTGTCCCTTGATTCACATTTTAGCCTGTGTCCATCTTTGGTTTATACTTCTGTCAGAGCTGTCCATTTACCTTAAGTTGTGTTTGTAGGTGGTTGACCTGCTGAATGACCTGTACACCATGTTTGATGCCATTATTGCTACTCATGATGTCTACAAAGTAAGGATCCTAACACTTCTTTCACCAAACTGTGTCATCCTTCAACATACTGTACATGTACGCATATGAGAAGGTTTAATGTGTTTTTTTAATATAAATAATTATTTTTATTGTTTCACATTAAGGTAGAAACTATTGGAGATGCTTATATGGTGGCTTCAGGTGTTCCTAATAGAAATGGGAATCGACACGCGGCTGAAGTGGCAAACATGTCTTTGGACATCCTACATTCAATAGGAGCCTTTAAGATCAAACACATGCCTGAAATTAAAGTGAAAATACGCATTGGGCTGCACTCAGGTCTATGTTTACACATATACATTCAAACAAGGAATAATGTACCATAATAAAATCAAACTTTCTCTCTGTATTCAGGTCCGGTAGTTGCAGGTGTGGTTGGACTCACCATGCCCAGATACTGTCTGTTTGGAGACACAGTCACCACAGCATCTCACATGGAATCCAGTGGACTGCGTATGTAAAACTAAAATCAGTTATGAACCAAACATTTCTAACATTTGTAATGTGAGTAAAGATCAACAAATTATGTTTTTATTATCCAGCCTACAGAATCCACATCAGTCTGAGTACTGTCAAAGTTCTGACTAGTCTCAAAGTGGGATACCACATAGACACCAGGAAGGCACAGGTATGCTCACCTGCTCATGTAGGGAAATAAGACATGAACTGTCAGGTGAATTACTTTAATTTTAGTTAAACTGTTTTGTATTGTTTGAGAATGTCGAGGAAAATCAACACAACTCAGATTTTTCAGCCTATTCACCTGTTCCTCTCATTGGTTCAGAGATACATGGAGAAAAGACACAATCAGTCAGAGAGATTCAAGTTAAAAAGTATTACCAACATTTATTACAGCTTTCAGCTGAAAGGAGATGCTCTTACCCCAAACCAACAGAGATACAATAAAAACCCAAGATGCTTTAGTTCCTTCTGTATTTAAACACAAAAGCTCCACCTGTTATGATTGCGGGTCTACCCAGACGAAAGACCAGAACTGAACAGAGACCAGGACTCAGATAATCGTTTACAGTGTTTATTTACAGAAGTGTGGTTAATAAAGACATCAATGTGAAGAATCGGGAACACCTTGGGAGAGAGCGGGAAATTAAAGGGCTGTTGTTGGATGAGGACTTGTCTTGTTGAATTATTCTTATGGTGGGTAGCAGGAAACCGAATGAGAAGGTTTTTGGTCCAGATGATCTCCAGTAGCACAAGGTGAAACAACAAGTAGACAAGGCAAGTGCTGGAAGGCATACAGCAGCTGTAGAGAGGCAGGAGGAGTCAAAGCTCATATGGGACTCAAGCAGGGCAGGTAAACGGCAAGATCCAAACTCTGAGGAAACACAGAGAAAAACACGATATTAGTTTCTACTAATATCAGAGATAAACTGGCCAGAACACAACTACCTTTGGTAGGCAATGTCCCAGCGCCTGGAGAGTGGTTCCTGAAGCATCTTATACTCCTCCTGGGTGTTGATCATCTGCAGCTGTTGCCAGTTAGGAGTGTAGAGGAGAGAGGAAGGCAGGGTGCAGGGCAATACTCTTACACATTAGCCTGGATCTAAGTAATCATCTGACAAATCAGTTAGTTCTTGTAAAGACGCTCTTATCTGCTGTGCTGTATTGCTCGATGTATCACAACTGTAAGGGTCCCACTGCCTGCAGCCTGCCTTACTGATGGCCGCTGATTACCAACACCTGACGGCCATCAGCCTGATGAGCCTCTCCATCTACAAAAGGCTGCAGCCCAGTGTGACTCATCGCTGGAGCATATCACCTCTCATGTTTCCTGGTTCCTCGTGTTTTTGGATTCTCCTTATGACCTGATCTGGATACCTCGGCCTGTCAGGTATTCCTCATGCCATTTTTGCCTCCAGTTGCCAGCCTTCCTCGTGCCCTTGGACCCTCGTTGGTTCCCCTCTGCTGCTCTC